TATAGTTTAGTAGTAACCTGAAAGTTGAACCTCTTATTCTCCCTGGCTTCTTGGGGAAGTAAGTTCCAGGATTCCTCTGAAGGGTACTTTCGGGTTCTATGTTTGTTTAGGGTTTAGGTTTCTATGGGAGTTTGGGGTTTTGCGGACAAGGTTCCTTTAAAGGGTAGAGTTTTAGGGTTTAGGGTTTAGGGGTACATAGGGTTCTATAATGGCGTCCCCTTCAAAAGAAGCTATGACTATGTAATGTAGGGTTCTAGAAGCGGGTCCCCTGTAAGGGCCAAGGGCTCAACTAAGAGCTTTTTTCCAGTTTAGGGTTCAGGGTTTGGGGTCCAGGTGTCTAGAGGGGCGGATCGCTACGAGCAACTCGATGAGCGGGAGATTGCGGCAGACCTGGCTGATGGAACGCGCTAGGTTGTCGCGAGAGCAGGCCGAGCTGACTGTCAGCGGCCTTCGCCGGCGCTGGAAGGAGGGGGACCTTGGGGTCCACTCCGTGGCCGCTATTTCCGTGGGCGCGAAACACAATCCCAGCAATCCCTTATGATTCTTGTTCCAACCGCCGTACAAACCAAGACCGTGACCCTGTCCTATACTCGTGCCAAAACGGGGTGTACGGCCGAACGGCCGAACCATGCAACAACTTGTGCCACAACCCCTAAACCCTAAACCCTAAACCCTAAACCCTAAACCCTAAACACTTACTCGTGGCAGAGCGGTGTGCCACGCCGAACCACGCCACAACACTCAGGTGCAAACAGCTACTCGTAGTGGCCAAAAGGCTGCACCGCCGAACTACGCCGCAACTCCCCAGTTGCTTGCACGCACCACCTCGTGGCAAAGCGGCGTGTGCCGCCGAACCACACCACAACACTCACGTGCACGTATCTACTCGTGGTGGCCGAGCGGGTTGCACCTCCTTAGCGAAGAGTGCCTGGAGTCGGGCGACCCTCCCTGCGAAGGATCTAGCGTAGGTGTCGGAGCCTTCGGGCTTCCACCTTCCTAGCAGGTCCTTGTCCTGTGAGGGGACCTCCAGGCCAATTGGTAACACGGACCTTTCGCTGTGCTCCGTCCAGTAGCCCTGGACCTCAAGCGACAGCCCCAGGATACCAAGGAGCCCAGCAGTCGCCACCATAGCATCAGCGTAGCTGGCGGGCTTCCGTTCCAGCGTGTTTTTGTGTGTTTAGTTGCTTGTACACTGAGTTTATGTGAGTTTCCTTTGTGTCCAGTTCTGCCAGTGTGTACTGTCATTGGCGAGGCTGGCCTCGTGCGGGACTTCGGCGGTGGCACACTGGTTCTTGAACCGACCCCGGCTGCCGAGTCCGCTTGGGAGGAGTACGGCCTCAAGCCGCGCCCTCCGTCCAAGACCTGGGCCAAGAACCTGCACCAGGACCGAACTGTGCGGTGCGAGACATGTGCTGCAATGTGCTGATGGTCGCCCAGCAACCCTTTGTCGCTACAGTGCGGTGCTGCATCGAGCTTGCACAACTCGTTTCTGGATTAATTTCTCGGAAATCAAATGTCGTGAGAGGAGCTGCCAAAGCTCATGGGGCTATCTGAATCATAGCTGTGGAGCCGAACCAGGAGCACGCAGCATGTGGGTCGGGACGTTGCGACGTCACTATATAGATGTGGGGCAAGCTGCTGCCAGCATGGATTACGACGGGCTTAGGTCGCCCGGCTAGCAGTCGTCTTGGAGCTTTGCAAGCTTTAATATAGGGGTTCTATGGGCAGTTTAGGACGGTTTAGGGTTTAGGGTTTGGGAAGGGTTCAGGGGTTTAAGGCCAAGGCTTAGGGTGAGAGTTGGTTTCGGTACTAGGTCTCCCGAAGAGGGCCAGTAGGAACTCTGGGGATCCGAAAGGTCTTAAGGTTCGCTGAGAGGTGTCGGGCTTGTGGGGATTAGGGTTTAGGGTGTTGTTTTAGGGTTCAGGATTTGGGGTTTAGGTTAGCGTTTGGGTTGTGGTATCTGAATCCAGAACCTACGAAAACCTAAATGTTTTCCGGGTCCCGATCAACTAGTGTTTCTAATATGAACCTACGAAAACTGGGGTCGGGATGTCTTTTTCGGCTGGAGTTTTCTAGGAATAGACGCA